AAAAAGACATTTGGTTACGCTTTGTCTTAATTAAATTTTCTGAAGAGATTTGTATAATCCTGATTTGTTTGTTTCCTCCTTGTCATTTAACTTTGCTCCCATTTACTGTCTCTGCTAGTCACCCTGGATGTGGGATACCAGACAGTGTTGGCACAACTACCCTTTTCAGGTTAGCAGTTCTATTTTACTGCTAATTGCATAAGCGTCACATTTTGTGCACTTCTTTTCACAGTGCTTCTTGTACATTAGTATGGCTGCATATTTATCAAAGGTGTGTTTGCTTCTTCCCCTCCTCAAAGCCTCTAAGTCCTGGACAATACAATTACTATGTTGCTGAGCTGGCTTTCTATTGGTCTCTGATGGTGTCCCAGTTCACAGATGTTAAACGTAAGGTGAGTCAACAACCAACACTATTGTGCTCCCGTCATCACTCGTATTGTAACTAAAGGTGTTTGTTCCTAGAGGCCTTATTTTAGTTTGTTTTGTGTACTATGCTTCTTACTTTTAAACCATTTGTATATGTGTCAAAGCATCAAATGTTACCAGCATAAAATCATTGATCTTGATTCTTGTAGAAATAATAATAAAAAAAAATGTTAAATGCAAAATATAATGGTAAATTAGATTCATCCATATATACTCATATGGAGTATATGAGTATACTCATATACTCATGAAATATTTTGTCAGGCAATTGATTTATCTGGTTGTGATCTTGCACACAAATTCCAAGAAAATGTGCGTCTTTAGTCTCTTACTAAACAAAAGTTGCCTACAGATATAATTAAAAAAGTTATTTAGCCACTTTTGGTATTTTGATTTGTTTTTCTATGTCTCGTTTTAAATTCTTGAGAACCCTTTATAGTTTACTTTTTTCTGAAAGATGTCATTGTGACTCTTCCTTTTGTTGACTTCTATTATATTGCTTTGAAAACATCACTTCTGTTGTTCCTTAAATTTGCAGCATGTAACTTTTATAAAAAAAATATACATATTTTTTTACATATTTGTTGAAACTGTGATGGCACACTGTGACAGTATGGCATGAGACAGATAATCTGTGTGAAAAAAAAAAAATCATTCTCCTCTGCCTTCTGCCCGTTCTCCCAGAGCTAACTAGAAACAACCAATCAGAGCTAAGATGGGTCTTAGCATTGTTAATCACAAGCTCTTGTGGTGCTGCTCATTCCCCCAGTCCAACCCTTGTTGTGAATGCTCAGGCTAGTTAGCATGATGGTGGATAGATGGGTTTTCCTGTAATGGTAAGTTGTTTCTCTGCCATTAACAAATTGTATACACATGGCCCACAGATGACATCATTGAAACCTTCTTCCTGATTCTTTTTTTTTGTTTGTTTGTTTGCTTTTGGTCGGGTGCAGCTCATTTCTTTAGAACGCGGAAGGAAGAGGCAGAGATTGATCTTTTCACAGATAAGCTGCCTCATAACATAGTGTTATGACATGATGACAAGTTCAACAAATGTGTAAAAACATTCTTCATAAAGGTTACGACAGTTTTAAATATCTCAGGAGTTAGATTTTATCTTCAACTATATCAGAAAATGTGTATCTTTACTTGGGTAGATTGGCTTCACATGAAGGTATCGGCCAATCTCCCAAAACTAAGGAATTCTGTGCCAATAAATCAGCTGGCCGGTGGACATTTTATGAAACAGTTTCTGTATTTTGGATCATTATCCTGTTGAAAGTCCAAGTGAAGACCCACTTTAGGTTTTGTTAAAGACTTCTGGATGCCATACCCTTTAGAAGAAAAATATTACAGAACCTCCACTATATTTAATTGAGCATGAGGGGATTTTCCATATACCCACCCTGTATTTTATGCCAAATCCTGCTGAAGTGTTACTGAAAAGATCTTTCTTAATCTTATCAGGCAAAAGTACACAGTTGGAGTTAAAGTCCCTGTGCATGCTACTCATGATTACGTTTGTGATAATGGGTCAGACAAGGCTCCCCCCCTCCCCCCGCTTGTATCACTCAAACAAACTTGTGCCTTCTCATAAAGGGTTATTGGTTGAGTTGAACTTTAGCCAGGACCCAAGTGAATTAAATTAGGTAATTAGGTGAATGACTTGTTGCACTTTTATAGTGCAACAAGTCATTCATTCATTTATGCACATATTCTCACATGCATATCAGATGGGCTGTGTTAATTTGGAGGATTTTTGTGTACATAACCAAAATACAACTATTTGAAAAGCCAACTGAAACCATGTCAAGTGCAACAACTTCACATTGAACCATGTTTCCTGCTTTCTTTGTTTTGGTGTTAATCAGTAACTGTTGCATCACCTCAGAAACACCTGATGTAGATGTGATGATCTGGATATTTTATGGCATGCATGAAGATCTTCTTAGAGATTGCGCTAGACTTTTTTTTTTTTTGCTAGGAAGTCTTTTTTTAAAAAAAAAGAACATTTCAGAAAAACTTTTATGTAGATGGGGCCTGAAAAACTTGATTACATAGATCTACCAATAGTGTCTTTGGTTATTTGTATAAAAGAAAGTGGTGTCAATAGGGCACCGAATCGAACTCTGACCTAGTGGCCCACATTCTGCAACATTAAGCCCTGGTTATCGGCATAATTTATGCAGTTGTGAAATACTTTATTTAGGCATAAACAGCTGCAGGGGTTGCCTGCAGATGAGATGATTCATTGTTGCATATGTTGTAGACTTAATTTTGTGGATTAAACGATCTGTGATGTAAAAGCTGTTACCAGCCTCTCTTTAGGTCTCTGCAAATCTCCAACGTCCTTTTTTTAAACTTGAAAAATGAAGATGACTCCAAGAATAAGATGGGCACAAACATAATTCCCTGTCCTAAAAATGGGGAAAAAAAAAAAAAAAAAAGTACATAGTTGGAGAGAACCGTTTTTTTTTTCTGGATAAAAAAGTCTTTTGAACAGTTAAAACAAGATGTTAAATCATTTCTATTGAGTGCAACTCCTTGCACAACCCCCAGAAGTGACTGCAGCATCAGAGAGAACAAGTCAAATGTGTTTTATGAAAAACGTCCTCTGAAGACAGATCTAGAGCTTTATGGGAGAATGGTTGAAATATGAAAACTGTACAAGCTTCCCAACACCCTCGTCATAACACTGTCGTAAAGTTTAATAGTGGAACTAGTACTGGCGATCGCCAATACCAGCAAACCACAACAACAAATCTGATTTGACTTTTATTTATTTAACAGCTTTATTTTCCTTTGGATTTAATAGACTTAGTTTTATAAGCATTAACACAGCTTAACCCAGCTTTTCATCACAATACCTACTGATTTACCGATTTATCGCTCTGTTCTTATTTGTCCCGTCTCATTGTGACGATGGCAGGATTTCATGATCATGCTTGTCCACCACCTGGCCACCATATTCCTCATCACCATCTCCTATGGCAACAACATGCTAAGAGCTGGCACTCTGGTGATGTGTGTGCACGATGCTTCGGACATCTTCCTCGAGGTAAATGGATCCATCATCAGCTGAAACATGACTTTAGCTGTTGACTCAAAATCGAGGAATTTGATTCATCATTTCTGAGAGCTTGCTCGTCTTGTTTCTCAAAGGCAGCCAAGTTGGCCAACTATGCCAAGTACCAGAGGCTATGCGACAGCTTGTTTGTGGTGTTCAGCATAAGCTTTTTTCTCACTCGACTCGTCATTTTTCCTTTCTGGTGAGAGTTTATCAATGCACTTTAAAATAAAAAGCCATTTTCTTTTCTTTTATTTAATTAAATGCATTATTTGGTTGGTTTTGCTTGTAGGATTGTTTACAGTGTGCTGTTTGAGAGCTGGCAGATCATTGGGCCATATCAGGCCTGGTGGCTGATAAACGGGTTACTGCTGGTCCTGCAGACTCTCCACATCATCTGGTTCTACCTCATCGCTCGCATTGCTGTCAAAGCCATCTTCAAGGGAAAGGTTTGTCTACATCCTAACGCAGCAGCTGCACTAAATTCAAAAAGTATTTATGCTTTTTTTTTGTGCATTTTAATGTGTCAGGTTAGCACAAAGTAGTGATTGTGAGTAAAATAAATATGATTCATGGTTTTGCTCAATTTCTGGTTGGCCTTTTTCCTTCCTGGGCTTCTTTTGGTGCTCTTCTTATCAGTTTAGGTTGACAAATTTTTGAACATTTTTGTAATACTTCCTCTATTTTCAGATGAATTTACACTAATATGAAATTGCATAAAGTTGGAGTCCATTTAATTAGATGATACAGAATTATATTTATGGATATGGGAGTTAAAGGCTGATTAAGCATACACCCCACACCATTTTTCAAAAAAAAAAAAAGTATATTATTTGACGTCAAGCGCATAAATTTGTTGCTTGAATGTGAAAAATGTGAGGGCGTGAAGGCTTTAGCTAAACTGTAGCACGGATGCAAACCTCTCATGCTTGTTTAAACAATGCGTCTTGTTACTGCCATCTCCAGGTGTCGAAAGACGATCGCAGTGACATAGAGAGCAGCACAGATGAGGACATTTCCGCCAATGGCAGTAAAAACTGTCAAACCTCCAAACTGAGGGACAGCAACCACACCGGTGTCCTTAATGGAGAAACTCATGACCACTGAGGGGATCGATGCTTTATTCCAATCATATTTTCTTTTAGTTATACAGGCAGGAATCGCTCTACACCTTATTACGATGAACTTTTAATTATTTTTCCTACAAATAGTTCTAAGATGTTAAACTCCAAGGTGAGTGCACAGCCTTGGACACTTGAAATGTTTACGTCTACTGTTTTTCTCACAAGTACACGAGAACTATATGAGAATTGCAGCAACCGGGGAGCTGCTTACAATGCTTTATGCTTGTAAATAGATTTTCTTGTTGACAACGATGACTGCTGTGAAACAAATCACTGCTTCCAAAGTATTTGTTGTATGATAGTGACATATGCTTCTGTGCTTTTTGATTTAAATTGTCAAACATCCCAAAGTTTTCTTGATAAAAGTGCAATAAGTGCAGTGATTGTAGTGCTGGATCTTTCCTTTAATGAATGGCAGTTTCATCTGCCTCAAGTTATTAAATGTTCTTCATTTAAAAGGTGACACTTAAATGGATCATTTGCTGAAGTAGTTTGCATAAAGCAAAACCAACACATCCCCTAAGTACACGCTTTTTACTTTTAGAATGTACTTCAACGTATAGTGTGCTGGTCCTGCTTACGTAACCGCATAATCTTGGGTCTACAGGACAAAAAAGTGTGAAAAAACCCCCCAAAAAAACTCTGTAAGGGGGCAGATACTTTCTCAGTGTTGTAAATGGATGGTATTTGTGTCTGAGTGTCGCTTGAGGTTTTTGGGTGTAATCCTCTCCTCAGTATCTAATGTTATGACATGTATCCAACATTTGAAGAGCATCTTCGCTGAAGTCATTGTACTTCAGGCTGAAAGAGGAGAGAATAAATGAAGTTAGATTTTGATAACATGCAAAACACATATCGAGTTTGCCTAGAGTTCATGATTCAAGTGAGGCCCAATGTACTTTAACTCCTTCATGTTTTGTTTTTCTTTCATGACTTGGACAATCGCAGGGACAACAGCGTCAGTGAGAGAGTTGTTTCTCAGCTCCAGGAGTTTCAGGGTATGACTAGCTCTGAGAGCAGCACACAGGTCTTCAACACAGGCATCTGTCAATTTGGTCATTTCCACGCTGTGTTAAAGAGAAAACAAGTAGATTCATAGAGTAGTGCACTGCAAGTGGGTTTTGGGGAGGAAAAAAAAAAAAAAAACAAGAGCATTTTGTTTTCTCCTCATTAGCTCACCTCAGTTCCTCCAACAAGCAGTTTGGATGTGCAAGAGCATCCCAGAGATATTTAACGCCTTGGTCTCCCACTTTGTTGATGGCTAAAAGTAGAGATTTGATTTGACATGTCCCATTTTTAAGAACTGATCCCAGTTCCTCAAAGACTGCTGTGGTTAAGTCGCATCGTGTCAAGCTGCAGAAACGGTCAGAGGACAACAACAGGGCTGGTTAGTGAATATTTACAAACATTATCCTTTTAAAGAAATTACATATTTCATGTTCCTCAAGGTTTGACATGAAATGAGACAAGTTTCTTGTTTTTGGTTGGGTAAGCTTACCAAAATTACTTATTTTTGTTAAGTGGCAAAGCAATTAAATTGATAATTATTTTCTTCAAAATTTACATGTGGAAATGTTTTACTGCAACTTCTCAAACACCAATTTCTTGTATAACAAAGAAAACAGTTAAGGTATCAGGAAGAGTATATCTGTACCTAAAAAAAGAAAACTAAAGACTAAGTTAAAATAAATAATTAGCAATGAGCTTACTTCAGGATTTCTATGGGGCAACTGGGTGATTTGAGGCCATGGCAAAGCAGCAGCGCCCCCTCCTGTCCCAAACTATTCAATGACAGATCGAGTTCTGACAGAGAGCAGTGTTCAGACATGAAGACCTCCTTCAAACTGGAGCAGCACGCACCTGTCAAACCGTTGTCAAACAGTCTACAAAACAGATTAAAAACGTATCACTTTTACAAAACCAAATTACCCCAGATTACCGAAATTAAACGGAGCCGATCTTGGTTTTATGACCTTAAAACGGATTCATACCCGAGGCTCTGCAGTTTACAAAGTGGCTGTCGGAGGGCTTTGCATAAGGCTTCAACTCCACTGTCACCAGCCATGTTCTCCTTGAAGTCAATTTTTGTCAACTGCGATTGACCAGAACACAAAGCCGATGCAAAAGCCTCCATGGACGCTGCAGTCAAATTACAGCTTTGAATCCTGTTGACAAGAAAAGTTGATTATTTGACAGAGTGGACATGTTGAAATATAAATCTGTACTATTTCAGAACTTACTGGAGCTCCTGTAGTCTGCAGTTTGGACTGTGCATTGCTTCGCACAGCTTTGCGAAGCCCTGATCGCCGATTGGATTAAACATCATTTGTAAAATTTGGAGATGGGAGGCTCCCGAGGTTAGCAGGAAGGCCAGGTTGTCACAACAGGCCGCAGTCAGACCACAGACATTAAGACTTCAAATATCAAAACACAACAACTCCAGTTATGTTCTGTCTTTTCTTTTGAACAATATCTACAGTGTTACAGAAGCATATTTGCCCACTTACAAATTTGTTTTCTTTATTTATTTTTTTTTATTTTATTTTTTGTTTACTGTTTAGTCGCAGTTGAAGGTTTTGGATCAAACAAATTTCAATATCAATAGAAAGCTGGGTAAAAACGAACACTTTTTAAAATTACGATATCAGTTTTTAAAGAGAAAAAAGATATTGAAAACAACCTGGCTGTTTTCTTTAAGAAAAGCAATTGTCCAGTCACACTAGAGGGTTTAATGAACTGCAGGTTTAGAGTCATGTCAAAACATTTTAATCAAATTTCTGCTTAAATTTTGACTAGGCTGCTGAAAAATCTTCCCTTTGTACTTTATACTTGATTCAGAGCAAAAAGCAGGAACATTGTCCTGCTGCATCACCCAAGTGAAGAAGAGCGCCCCCTTCAGTCAGTCAAACAGTTTGATTGTTGTACTTTTTTCCCCTTTTCTAAAATGCTCAGAATGTTGTAAAATTTAAACACCATCAATATGTGTTTTGGCAACTTGACATGGAGTTTAAGTCAAACAATTGATTGAGAATCTAATTTATGTTAATGTATGTGACAAAAAAAGTGAAAAAAAATTGATGGGAATATTTTATCAGAATTGCATCATCAGCAACAAAAAAAAAATTTTAAAAAAAGATTTGTCTTACTTTAGTCCATGTAGCTTGGCCTCTCTTAATCCCGCACAGAGAATGTCCAACTTTTCATCTCCGAGGTTGGAATGGGAAAGCTCCAGCTCTGTGGTGACGCCCATGCTGACAGCTGAAGCCAGCAGAGGGATGGAGTCTTTATGAATGGAGCAGTTTGACAAGCTGCAGGAGACGGCATTGCATTTCATGTATATGGTGCTGTACACATTGAATGAAATACGTTTGTTATCTTTTAAGAGCACTTCCCACTTACATCACAGTATGTGACAAACTCACAGACGGAGCCAAGACCTCCATCATCTCTCTTAATATTGCTGTTCTGGACATGCTCAACTTTTCCCTTTCACCCAGACATGTGATCACATAATTCAGAGCTGCACAGTCCTGGAGGCTCAGGTTTTCATGAAAGATGCACGGGTGTGCAGGAGGGTTGAGGATTTCCTTTACCAAACTCTCGTTCTGGGCTTGATGCAGCAAATGGAAACATCTGTAGTGTTCAGATTTGTTGTATTTCTTCAGTGTTTTCTCTGATCTGCTTTTAAACCAGCTTTTAAAACATTTAATCTGATCAGAACTAAACTTTCCCAGTAAGTCTTCCAGCAATCTGTACTGGACCGGCTCAGAGAGCCCCGACATAAAGAAATCTAGAAACTTTGAACAACCTTTGTGATTATCCAGCATCTTCTCCGCATCTCCGTGTGTCGACGGGTCCAAAAAAAAAGCCACGGCCAAGACAAACTCCTGCATCAGTTTGGAGTGGAAGGAGAGCTCTCCTTCACCGTGAACTCTCAAGAAACCATCCACAGAGGTAAGACTCTGTTCAAAACCAAAGGAATCAATGGCATGTTTGGAACAGCTTGAATGTTGGTAGTGGAGGCAGTGAGATGCCATTCTGCCAAGAGCCAACACTAACCCTCTGCTGCGTTCTTTGTTCAGTGAGAGAGACTGAATCAAGTGGACCAAAATATCCACAAATAGCTGAGACAAAGTCTCAGAAAGTTTGGTACATGAATCAATAAGCCGCTTGTAAATAGAGCAGACTGTCCAACAAAACCTGGGAGAAGCACAGAAATCATAAATGCCCAGAGTTCTTTCCATGTGCAGAAATGCTTCACTAGCTGCAGTGGGGTCAGGGAAGAAGTTGTTAAAGTAAACCTCTCTTTGCGGTTTCTGAAACCCCAACACATCCATCCGAATCCCGCCGAGGAACTTCACGCCATCTGTGGGCCTGGTTGCAACAAGAAAGGCGGCTCCTTTCAGCAGGGATCCGTGAAGCAGACTGGCCAATAAGCAGGACACAGAGACCAGATGGTAAGGGTCAGAGGTCAGGGTGTGGGATGAGGGGTCCAGGCTGTGCTTAAACTCATCCAGACCATCAAATACAAACAACACGCCATCAGGCTCCTCTGTAACCAGACGTGTGAAGTTTGGGGGCATTTGAAGCTGGCCTTGTTGGATCAAAGTTTCCAAAGAAAGTTCATCTGTAGAAGATCCTATTTTACTAAACTGGAAGTTGAAAACATGAGAAAAGTTTTGAAGGCATTCTCCATTAGCCCAATCGACAACAAGCTTGAGCAAAGCGGTGGTTTTACCAGAACCTTCTGGACCAACCACTACAACAGTTCTGGTCTCACCACAGAGAACAGTCCGGATGGCGTCATCTAGGAAACCCAGGTTATCATCCTGAGCGTCGACGGTGACAGGTACGTACTTCCGGCTGTTAATGACGCTGGCAGGAGACTGACCACCGAGAATCGTTGAGGTGTTTTCTGTCTTCAGGATGCGAGTCAGAATATCAACTTTATCCATTCTGATAGACATCCAGAAATAATAACAGCTAACACACAATGAACGCAGCTTGAGGGAACAGCTAACACCCTTTTTGCTTGCATGCAAAAATAAAAGTTCATGCGTGATTATTTGGTTTTTCTATACCTCGAAAAACTGTCCATGAACGTGTTTACAAGAGTTGTACTCTGCGGAGGAAACGTAGTAAACTTCGAGGGACAGTTGTTGGGGAAATTATCCTAGCCCAAGCCACATTTTCAGATTCATAGCAGGCCATCATCATAAAACGGAAAACCAGGAAATGTCGGAGGGCAATTTTACCCGGCACGCTGTCTTACAGGCAATATGAGCCTCTTCCTTCTTTTAGTTACTGGTGGGCAGAGCCTTGTACACCACGCTGCAGCAAACAGAAAGGGGCGGGGACGGACCACTGGCAGTCTTCAAGTACACCTCACCTTTCTCTGTGTGGCAGGAAGAAGCCTGCAGGCTACACTTGGATGAAATTACAGTACAGGAATTGTATTCCTAATCCACAAAGGGGCGCTGTTTACACATTACCTTCTGCAATGATGACCCAGAAGTTCATTGGATGTTCCTGCTAGGAGTTCCAAAACCATCTGTTTGACATTTCCTTTTTCTGCCATAAAACAAGTTTGTTGTCATTCTTCTTTTTGATATAGAACTAAAGTACAATTTTAGGCCATTTTGGCAGTAGCCTGTCATCTACTGCTGGCGACAATGTTCTTATCTCCTATTAGTGTTTTCTTTATTAAATAACAAAATCTTCTTTTTAATACGTATCTTAGTAGACTTGGGAAACACTCCTCCATGGTCCAGATGACATCATGGTGGCCTATGTCTGTGTGCTTGTTAGTGCTGATTCAAAGAAGAATGGGAGAAAAATGGGCTGACTAGAACAGACGAATCAACAAGAAGGGAATCTAAATTTAAAAGCTGCTTTTATTCACTGTAACGTTCATTGTGTCTTTATTTGTCATTGAAAACGTGTATAAAGCTTTGTCTTTATTTTTGGCTCTCTGTATCTACAGTACAAACCAGAACCAAGGGAGGAAATGCCAAGAGGCCAACTGGGTTATTAAAAATGTATTAGTTTGACTAAATTGTGTTTAATGTGTTGAACAAATTGGAACTCTAAAATGTGCTGAGGTGATGTTGCATCAGATAAATCAAAATTTGACAGATGGAGAATAATTACAAGTTCTATGTAAAGTCCAGCAACTCCGTGTTCTTAGTTTGCTTGTTTCCATTTCTTGTCAACGCTTCATAGCAAACACCGAAAGAAGGTCAAAATAAAACTGCTGAGGAGTTTCTCAACTGTTCCAGATGTTGAAAACCAATCCATCTGACTAAGAGAGATAAAGAGACAAATGAATCCCTATTTTGTTCAGAGACCGTAAACATTCACTGACCTGGCTGCAGATACTCTCGTCCTGCCCTGATTGACACTGTTTTCTGGTGTCAGAAGCTGCAGGGACCCCAAACGCCTTCCTCTTCTGAATTATTCTAGTTTTTCTACCAGACTATCCTTAAAACTTTCTCAGACATGAAGAACCTAGATTATAGGTGAGAAGCTACAAGAGATATTGATAGACACACTTTGATAAAGTGAAATCTTCAATCTTTAACCTTTGATCTTTAACTCAGAACAAAATCAGCCGTTAAATAGATAGAGCTACATTTCAATAATTGCTTCTAAAAAGACTGAAGTGGTAAGTATGGTCATTGTGAGATTCAGATTGTATTTCTGTTTCTAGGATTTAACAATAATAATAATAATAATAATAATAATAATAAAACTTTTGCAGAAGAGAATGGATTATTTTTCTTTCATGTTGTGAAAAAGCATGTTTTCAACTCAATGATATAAAAATGGATGTAGAAAATATTAGTACTTCATTCTGTTTGTAAACTCAATTAAACTGTTCAAATAAAAATGAAGTGATAACAAAACTACATTTGTTAAAACCATATTTAAAAACTTTTTGGGGTTCTTTAACAGTTACAAAGAGGGACATGTTTTTAGAAAGATAAAATAAAGAAATATTAAATCACTGGGGATTTATCACAATTATATGCACTTCACTTTAATTCCCTTTCATACTTTACTCTGCAATTAATTTTTGCTCCGTGCCTCGTCATCTGCTACAGCATCCGAAAGATTTTGCTCATGACTGTACAATAATTTTCATTTATATGAGTAAGTATGGGAAAAGTTTCACGTGTCAGTCTGCAAAAACCCAAAGGTTTTGAGTCAACTCAAGAACAATGCAAGACGTAAACTTACTAGTAAGCAGGACTTCTTAGCCCTGAGGCTGCTGTTGCTAATGAACAATAATATTTCAGCTGCTGTTGTCATGGAAACGTCCAAATTATACAACCATGTAAATTTTTTATTTATTTTTATTTTTACTGTTTAAGTTTTGTATCCAGCTTTAACGTGCCAAACTGTTGCCTGTAGTTATGCTCACCTTTTTGCAGATGTTAGTGAGAAACAGGACATCCTAGCTGTGGTTAACATGATAAATCTTTTTTAGAATGGATTTTAAAAGTTTATTATTCTTTTAATAAAGTTTTATTCCTCTAAGACCACTTTTTTTACTTGTAGAATACATCAAATGAACAAAATTACCTCACATTTTAACTAATACGGTAGCTTAACTGATGTAATTAAAGGACTTTTGACCGTTTACACAATTCCTACTCATAGATTAAGATAAATAAGAATAAAATGTGTGCATATTGTTACACAGTTTTTGCTGGTGAAATGTTGACAGTGCTCTGGAGTTGTGTGAAAGTGGACGAGAATTAGCAAAACATTTTTGTCTGAATGTTCTGATGCTTCTGGATAAATTTGCATGTTGAGGACAGATTCCAATTAAAGAGTGGACACTTGACATCATCCCCCTGGTATCTGTCTGCATAAATAACACTTTATAACAGAAGATTGTAACTGGCTGAAAGCTGTGCAATTGAGGAAACAGATAGCTGCAATACATCTGCACTGCACACGCCTCACATTTTGCTTGTGCTGGTTACCAGAAGCATCTTGAACTTCATTTATAAGGCAGTGTAAAAAATAAAGAGTAACACACTTAATTTGCTGTAGAATTCTTTATATTTTACATAAGTATAAATAAAACACAAATCAGTCAGTCAAGAGTTTTATTTGATGCAAGCGAGGCAGTTTTCATTAGTTCTGGACTCAGGTGTGTCATGTGCCACGCTGACAAGGACGTGTTGCCTCACAGAGGCAACATTGCTGAAGCCAGTAATTATAATCCTATGTAAATTAGTCATAAATATTCTAATGAACATAATAAACCGTAACATAACTCAAGAAATAATTAGATTTAGATTAGCATATCCCGTCGTCCTAAATCTGTATTTACAGCAAAGTTTAAAGATATTGAGAATAATTACGCACAAGCGCTCCAAAGAAGAATTTCAGACTGATGCTATGCGTTAATGTTATAAACTGTATGCCAAAGAAAAATGGCTCAAACGGTTAAATAATTAAAATAAGTTTCAGTTTTTCATATTTCATATTGATCACGTAGTTTATTGGTTGATAACAAAGCAGAACAGCCGTTTCTTTCCCTACTCTCCTTCCTCCATCTCCTCCTCTGGTGCAAACCTTTTCCCCGGGTGTTGTCTCTTCTCCTCGGCGTGACTTTTGTTGATGTTTTCCAGAAAGTCGAGCAGCAGACTGGTCTTACTGCAGCTGTCAGAGTCCAAAACGTCACACGGACTGCTGGTGCTTAATTCCGGACTGGAGTTATCCCAAAAGCGTTTTCCTGGGTGCTGACGCTTCTCCAGCTCGGACATATCTTCCTCTCCGTCCTCAGTCCAGTCCGCCTCACCGTCCTCATCTTCGAGAAGACGCTTACCGGGATGCTGGCGCTTGCTGTGCAGCACCAGATAGCGCTTGCCCGGATGCTGGCGCTTGGAAAGTTCGCTGAGCACCACGACGGGACTGTCGGGAATGTGTCCCGTGGTGGAGCGCTTCCCTGGATGCTGCCTCTTCTGGAACTCCGTGAACGAATGCATTTCGTCTTCGCGCTTGCCGGGGTGCTGTCTCTTTTGCATATCCCAGAACTGCTCGTCGTCGACCACCTCCCTTCTGCCCGGATGCTGCCGCTTCTCCAGGTCCTCGAAGTATCTCTTGCCGGGATGCTGTCTTTTTGTCACCCATTGTGGTTGTGATAAAATCCCATCTGGACAAAAAGTGTTGAGGACTTGTTTAGTATTGATCTAATACCGACTGAGTCTATTCTAGCATAGACAAACTGCAGCGAGATGGATTTTACAGTTGGCGTGCGCCGTGCGTAAATTACGCACAAGACAGCATCTTACGGCCCATATTTCCCCAGCTCTATTCCTCCCTACCTCTTTAGAAACAGAGAATGCAACAACATTTTGTAATTATTCATGATTTTACGTTTGAGGGGAAAAGTAGTTCCCAGTTCCCAGGAGGCTTAGGTAACAGGAAATAATATGTAATGCTGGATTTAAACAAGTAAATACACATTTTAAAAAAACCCCAGCATGACCGTATGATGCTGCAGAGTCAACTTTTTTTTTTTTTTTTTTGTTGCCGAAAAATATACCCAAACCATGAGCTTCACGCACCATTTTTACCGTCTCCATCCTGCAGCTTTTTGAGAATAGACCGTAAGAGGAGGCTCTGTGCTCTCTGTAGCATGAGGTTGTCTATGGTGGTACTTCGGTCCATCTCATCCTCAGCAGGGAGACCCTGTCCATCACACACTGCCAAATTGCAGATCACAAAAGATGCCAGGACTAGAAGGCTTGCCGACTTCATGGCTTTATTTTTTTTCCACCCTCTACTAGAAAAAAAAAGATTCCACACAAAGTCAAAGTTTTATTACAAATCATGCTTAATTCATGAAGTCAATAAAAGATTAATGATGCACGAGTTGCATTGTTTGCTTCTGGACTTTCAGAAACAAACAAAGCTCATTTACAAGTGCGAGACGCACAGTAAACCTGATGTATCCAGGTAAGGTGACCCATAATCTCAAATCTAGGATTCTGAAAAGCGCCAGACTCACATGAAAAGTATCCAAATTCTCCTCGTCCCCACCCCGAGGCACCGCTGGCAGCGTTGCTAATGGTTTCTCCCCGCTTCTCGGAGCTCTCGGTGACCCTTTAGGCCAGATCCTGGAGGTATATGAGCTGACAACTTCTTCGGCTCTGCTTTTATACTTCCCGGTCACTGTCGTCACACAATCCCAGGAGTAATTTTTCAGGATCTCTCGTCCCCACTGATGTCACCAAGTCGTGCGCAACTGGGTTTGGTGAATGATCGCCCCTACAAGGACTGCTTCCCAGTTTAGATTTCGCGAAACAAAGATAAACCTTGCACTTAGGGAGGATGGGTTATTGTGGGATTACTTTTTTTTTTTTTTAA